GTGTGTCGGAGAGCCAAGCCACAACATTTACAATCTGAGTACGACGTTTCACAAGTAATTACAACTAGCTTCATCAGGCGACAGCCAGATTTGTGGAGATGTCTTACTGTTTCGTTCGTTATATAGAGACGTAGATGTGGTGACCACGCTTCTGCGTGCTTGCACAAAGTGTACATTATGCATGTGCATTATGCGAGCCCTTTGAATTTGTCCTTCCTGTCAATTGTGTGTATAGTATTAAATAGCCGTACCAACGGTAATCCCTATTGAATGAAGTGTGCTGCCCTTTATAGGCATGAATTTGCATAATGTGTTATTTGATGATTCGCTTCCATGCAGCACTAAGGCGGTAGCTATCCGAACGGTTAAAGTTATTTTTTTTCTTTCAATTTCGATAGATTATCTAATTAGTCTTGGCCAGTAGTAGCTAGTTTTGCGCAGAACTGCTACTGCTGACAGTTGTATTTGGGATAATTTAATATTTATCTGATGCTCTTTTAGTCTCGTGCTGATCATTCGTCCTGTTTGCCCAACATAACATTTTCCACACGTGCAGTTAAACCTGTACACACCTTCTGTTTTTTATATACCGTGCCAAATCTGACTCAGATGTTTTGTTTTTTCCAAACATCTGGCTAGTTTTAACGACACATTTATATATGTACACGATCTAACCCAAAAAGCCTCTATTATGTATGATATCAATGGTCAACACACTTTTTCTGGCATAAGGTATTCTAACGGTTTTAAGGTACTTTTGGGGTGCTGATTCCAAATCTGGCATCAGTTTTTGTCTATCACATCAGGTTTTTGAGATATCAAATATTGCATTTTCAATAAAAATTGCAGAAGAAAAATATTAAATAAATGTGGATATCTACATAAAATTATATTATAAACACTATCCTAAAAATACAGCACCATATGTTAACACTAAAGCAGTCACTGACTCGCAACAACTTGCAATCATAAGTGACAGAGTTAATTTCGGATAAAATCAATGAAAATGGGGTGATAGAGCAAATATGAGATCAGATTTGGAATCAGCACCCTGAAATTAGTCTAAAACAGCTGCAAAAGTCCAGGCCAGAAAAAAAGTTTTTTTTTTTGTTGACCAGTGTATTAGTCGCGAAAGCCTACGTGTTAAACATCCTGCCACTGCTTTCCCCAATGATACGCGTGCTTTTTTTGATTCTTGTGAGACGTGGTTTTGACTTTCTTCGTTATTGTTTTATCACATTTTTGTTTTGTTATTGTGTTGTCAAACTAGTTTAACTCTCTCCCTTTAGCGATGTTTACAACTGTTTAGATCTGTTTAATTCATGTTTCTGAAACGTTACCTTTTAATCGTCTTGGATCCCGAGCACGAGGAATGAAATGGGCCCCCGTGTCCCCCCCTCCCTCCCCCCATCCCAATCGCGGTTGCATCGCTTGCACGCTCCTCGATAGCTGCACGCACCGCTATAGAGAGGCCCCTGCCTCTCTATAGCGCGTGGAATAGTAACGCCCCATTGTCACGGTGATCTGGTGAAGACGGTATCGCTGATCGGCCGTGGTATTTAAAGCGAGCGTGGGCATGGCAGCCAAGGAATGGAACGAGTCCAGGAGGTACGTCCACTTGGAGAGATGGAGCGATGACATCAGTTCCTGTTCAGGTGCGAGGTGGATTATTAGGTGTACATCGCAGCGTTGTGAGAGGTGATGGCAGCTTGAGCAGGCTTTGATCCAGCAGTGGATTGATCATGGCCGATGATTAATATCACGAGAGTTCACTGAGACTGAAAGTATATTTTTGTTAACAGACCCGGAATAAAAAAGCATACAAAACTCTTTAAAAAATCATGAACTTTAATCACTTTCAAAATACTAAACAAAATATAACATTTTATTTTAACAGGTAAGGCCCACTAAGCTATAACGCTGTTTTTCAGAAGCAACCTGGCCACAAATGATAGCTCTACGAAGTGGCTTATCAAGTGGAAATGTACACCAGCCAAATAATCCAAACACAATGTAATATGCCGCAAATAAAGCACTTGGGATAAACGTGAGATCAGTTTTGGACACAGCATGTTAAAGCGAAAGACGCTTTGAGTAATACGAGACTGCAAATATAAACAAGTCAAATTCAGAGTGTTAAGAACAAAAACATTCCAGCCACGCTCAATCCATGAGCGGAGGAGGCCCTCTCCACGCCGTGTCACTCACGTGTCACTCACGTGCCACTCACGTGTCACTCACGTGCTTTATCCCCCTCCCGGTGGTCAATGCAGTCGTGGCGGGGTGGGGAGGGAGGGCATGCCGGTTCTGATATCTGAATCAGAACATTTAGACTGCAGGAGAAATCTGAATTAGCCGGGAAGATCTTTATTCGCAAATGTCCAGTATGGGCGGGTCAGCGAGTTACAACAACAAACACTAGAAAAACACGACGGGAGTGCAAAGTAGAGGAAAAGGTAAGCAAGTCAATACATATTAATAACAAATACATTCATTATATTACATAAGTCTAATTCATCAAACTTGGGCAAGGCAGCAAAAACAACATCACAGTCCCAGACCACACCAAGATAACACACAGAAGTAGTCCCTCAATGAAATAGCACATAAACGTGCAAATGTGACTGAATCTTCTGCTTCAGGAAAACCACCTGCCACTGGTGTTACCCGTGGCCGGAATCGAACTCTGGTGGCTGGGTTCGTAGTGCAGCGCGCGAATGACCACCACCACCACCACCACCCACCCCACCCTCAGCGTTTACGAACACAGTCGTTTATTTCCAAGTCTCAAATTGCTTTTCAGGAAACGTTCGACGTCCTTTAAAATCACGGGTTGCTGAGCAGAGGATCAAATATTAAATATGCCAAGTGGCCAGCAACAAACCGCGCTATTCAAGGTGTACAGTACAGGTGTAAGGTTTAACCCGTATCTTGAATTGAGAGAGAAGGGTGACTAGAAAACGTGGGGAAAAAGACGATGGGAGGATGGAATTCCAAAGTGGAGCAGTGCGAGTGACCTCCGGTGTGGTGGTTGAACACTGCGGATGAGACGACACGGTCTGGTAGACAGAATAAGAATATTTATATTGGAGGAATCCGATGAGCTATAAAGCTCTTTCCCCCCACAGATGTCCAGTAGACAGACCTGAGTCCTCCACATGGGTGGAGGAACCGACGACTTAAATTCATGCTTAGCAGTAATCAAGACGGTAGCACGGTTGGTTACGTACGGTGTAAAAGAAGTTTAACATACATACATACATAAATGAGTGATGAGTAGGTGACTCACCACCGGTGAGCCCGTGTCTGGGAGTGAACCAGTGAGTGCTGGATTACCAAGATGACTGCTTTAGGACAATGATAGAATGATGAGTATGTTATCGACCACACAGCACCGAATACATCTCCAGCATCCTCCGGATTCTGTTGTTGTGAATCACCGCACGGGGTATGGGGTGGTGATAACAGCACTGGCTTCTGATTCACTGCAGCTGATGTAAAGTCAGTGCAGGCCCACGCCTTCACGAAGGCATTCCCGTATTCACGAATGTTCTGCGTTGGAGTATTTGAGCACACCCAGACACACCAAGCATTCCAGCCGATAAGATCACCCATCAGCAGCATCGCCCGTTGTGCCTCGCGCGTGTGAGTGTTGAGTGTGTGTGAGTGCGTATGTGCAGGTGAAAAGTATGTGTGTATACGGGTGTGTGGGTGGGATGATGGTATGGGGGAGCGGTGGCATAGTGGTTAGCGCACTGGCGTTACACGGGTTCGATTCCCGCTCACGGCCATCACCAGTGACGATTATCTGAAATGGTCTTGGGCCTCCCCTTGGTCGACTCAGCCTCAAATGAGTACCTGCTGCGGTGTGTAAACATCGTCACTCGGGAGGCAAAGGCGGCCGGGCGTGGTGCTGGCCACCCACCCCCTCGTGTGCCTTGCTCGATAACAGCACTTGCCCCGACAGTCTGTTAAGGCTACACGGGGGATATTTTTTTGTCTTTTTGGTGTAGAGAGCGGTGGTGTCGTGGTTCGAGTAACTGGAGCAACGAACCCGGCAGCATGAGTTTGATTCCCACTCACGGCCACCATTGACGAATATCTTGAACTGGTCGTGGGTCCTCGTCCAGGTTGACTCAGCCTTAAATACGAGCACCTCCAGGGCAGTGTGTCAACATCAGCAATTGGAGGGGACAAAGGAGGCAAGGGCGTGGCACTGACCACCCACTCCGTCGTGTTACCCTCACGGCTTTCTCAGCGCTAACAGCACTTGCCACAAAAGTCAGTTAAAATATATATATGAGACATCGTTGCATTTGTGCGTTACGAACTCCGGCCACCAAAGTTTGATTTCCCAGTCACGGATAACATCAGTGGCAAGTGGTACTCGAACCTGTTTGATCCTCGTTTAGGTCGACTCAGACTTGCACGAGTGCCTGCTTTAAGATGGAGAAACATTGCAGTGTTTCATTGGGGGAGACAAAGGCAACTGGGCGTGGTTCTGGATACGCCACCACGTGTGTATGTGTGTCTCGCACTGGCGTTAATAGGTGCTCGCTAACAATACAGTACCTCCAATAGGGAGCGGTGGCGCAGTGGTTAGCGCAACACGCTACGAACCCGGCGGCGACTCGAGTTCGATTCCCGCTCACGAACCAATAACAGAGGCGAAAATCCGAACCGATTCTGCGCCTCCCCTAGGTCGACTCAGCCTGCAATGACTACCTGGTGCGGTGGTGTATCAACATCAGCATGCGGAGAGACAAAGGCGACCGGGCGTGGTGCCGACCACCCTCGATCGCGTTCGCCGTGTTGGCCTTCATAGGTGCTCCCCAACAGCACTTGCCCCGGGAGTCTGCCAAAGGCTCTACGGGGGAGCTTTATCTTTGCGTGTGGTTACGGTAATCCCAAGCCAGCGCAATCCGCCCTCGGCCAATGATAACGAAAGCAGACGCCCCTTCGCCCGGGCCCCTATATAAGAGCCAGGTGTGCAAGTCACCTGGCTCCAAGCGACTCGAGGCAAGCCACCACCACGCTCCCCTCCCACCGCGCATCACCGCACAGCCCACGAGAGAGAGAGAAGAGCGCAGATAGACTTTGTGCAACGCAGTTCGCTCAGAGGTCCTAAACCACCGCTGCCACGTTCACGCTCCGGGTGTAGCGGAAGACTCGATCGTCGAAGGGTTGACATTTGGAGAAACGCAGGAAGCCACCAGCAGCGAGATGTCCCTCCGCAACCGTGGCTTTAGCAGCAAGTCGGTGGTGACCGGGGGTAGTCTGAAAGGCGCTCGCTCGTCCATTCGTTACGATGGCCGTGCATCCCGCTCGTCCGCGGGGGTCCTGTTCACGGGAGCCCCCCCTCCCGAGATCGATCGCTCCGTGCAGGACGTGAGGAGCCAGGAGAAGGATCAGATCAGGGGCCTCAACGACCGCTTCGCCAACTTCATCGACAAGGTGCTTGTCTGTCTGTTTGTCTCTCTGTGTGTGTGTGGCATCTGAGTCTTACTCCGACGCCTCTCGTACGGTAAAACCCACGGCACCTGCCGGGTCTGTGTCCGTGACCTACCAGCGGGCGTTCGACACTTCACGTGGCCTTAAAGTGCACGTAGCCTGGCACAAGCGCCGTGGCGACGTCACCCCCACTTCGTGGCAAATGGCGGTGGTTGTTGTTGTGTGCGTGTGTGTGGAGGTGTATTACCTATGAGGTGTATCGCATACAGGTGTGTGTAGGACGGAGGTTTATCTCCTATGAGATGTGTGTGGGAGCGGTAGCGTAACGGTGGGAGCGGTAGCGTAACGGTGAGCGCGCTGCGCTACGAACCTGACCGCCCAAGTTCGATTCCCTCCCACGGCTACTCCCAACACGAGTAGCGGCGATTACCTGACCGATTCCGGGTCGACTCAGCCTCAAACGAGTACCTGGTTCGGTGTGTAAACATCCCCACTGGGGAGACAAAGGCGGTCGGGCGTGGTGCTGGCACCCACCCACCCCTTCGTGTACTGTCCCGAGCTTAATAGGTGCTCGCAAACAGCACTTGCCTCAACCGTCTAAGCCGATACGGGGGATCTGTGTCTTGGTTGTGTTAGAATGTGCAGGTGTCTGTTGCAAGCTGTTGGATACATAGGTGCCGAGTATGTGTATCCTACGGTATTACTCGCAGTTAATCTACAAGTACAGTAGGGTGCTGTACCTCTACAGGTGTTATTTAAAATCTGGATTGGCACCTTATAATGGACAGGTGTATTGTAAGTTGTTATTGGAACATGATCACACGGTGTGTGGATATGTTCAGGTATGTATTTACACCTATAAGTGCGCGTCATCATGTTTTAGTGTGCATGATGCAGGTGTGTGTCTTGTTTAAGTTACAATATTACACTGTTATATATATATTTTTAGGTGTCTTATATTTATATGTAGAGGCGTTGCAATATTCAGGCATGTTTCTGTGTATTTTGTTGATGTGTGTGCGTAAAAAGTTTTTTTTGGAAGATTGTGATGTTTCAGGTGTTTGTGTAACAAGGTGTGTGTGGTTCAGATAATATATGTGTGTGTGTATATCCGATGCAGCATTATAGGTGTGTGTGTGTGTTACAGGTATCATTGTGTGTGTGTCTGTTCTAGCATGTGTGATCGGTTCGTGAGTTGTAGGTGTGTTCAGGGCGCCACGGTGATTCGATGTTAACTTACATCGCCTGGTACGCAGGAGGTCGTGGGCTCGATCACGACCCTGACGCCTGCTGTATATTTGGAGTTTGTGTGTTCTCCCCGTGGTAGCGTGGATTTCTCTCCCGGTTCCTCCGGTTTTTCCTCCACATTTAGATTCCACGTGCATTTACAGTATTTGGCTGCTATAAATTACAACACGATAAGCCACTTAGTTGAGCTGTCATTTGTGGCCAGGTCGCTTCTGAAAAAGAGCTACATAGATCCGTGGGCCTTACCTGGTCAAATAAAAATGGTTTGTCGTTCAGACTCGTGTGTATCATGCATGTGTACACACTTGCGTGGTATTACCTGTGTAGTTGCTCTTGCCGCACATGTACGCTACAGGCGTGTGTACCTGTTTGAACGTGTGACTTTTGGTGCGTGCATTTATTATAGATGAGCGTATGCGTGCGTGTATCTCCAACCACTATGCAGTACACGCATTGAACAGTCCTGTACATTCTAGACTTGAAGTCCTGTGCATATTCCCCACCCATTGAGCCACAATAAGTAAGTCCACGTGTCATGCCTCATCCTTCCTTGGTCAAACCTTGGATAGCAAAATCTCTACTCATTTCACGTTCGTCAGCCAACACGTGGTGGACGAAGACGAGTGGAACAACAACGAGAAGGCATATTCGTTGGTTCTTTCGGTAAAGTCACGTAGATAGAAAATAAAATAATAATACAAAATAAAAATAAAAAACCAAAAACTCACGACGTTTCAATCGCAACACAAGCGTTCGTCATCAGGCGACCGCTTGTGTTGCGATCCAAACGTTGTTTTTTTATATTAAATTTTTTATTTTGCATCTACGACACTTTACCGAAAGAACCAAAGAATATGCATTCCTGCAGTCACGAAAGTTTTAAGTCAAAATTTTACGAGAAGGCATCGCTAGGAATGAGATTAATTGTCCAGGGCTGGGCTATAGAACTTCCTCCTCAACACAAGAGCTTAGTCCATTATTGGGGAAGTATGGCCATATCACCCACACAACCCGCATGGCGTGGGCAGGTCCCTCATCCAGCCCCGAAATGACCAAAGTGGTTGTACACTCATGTCGGACGTAAACCTTTTACATAATTAATGAGTAAATTACATTTATTCACTTCATCCATAAAACTGAAGTTTTACTTTTCGTTGACAATACACATGCAGATATTAATGCTTATGAGCATTAGGCTAATGCATTGTGTGTTTTGGGGTTTAGTTAGTTCTTAGAGAAATACTGTGTGCATGTAGGGCCTTGTTAGTTTGCTGTGGGGAGCCGTGGTGCAGTGGTTAGCGCACCCACACGACCTGGTGACCCGAGTTACATTCCCAACCATGGCTAACACTCGTGGCAGATCAAGATCGGAACCTGTCCTGGGCCTCCCCAAGGTCAACTCTGCATTGAATGAGTACCTGAAACGGTGTGTGTCAACATGGGCAATGGGAGGGGGACAAAGGAGGCAGGGAGTGGTCCTTGCCACACCGTGCTGGCCTTAATAGGTGATCACCAACAGCACTCCACCACACCAGTTCATTGTATCGCACACACACACGCTACCTGTGTGTGTGGGCGGTACAGTGAGTGTGCTGTTTATGCAAGAGGATTGAGTTACCCAGCGGGGTCTGCAGTGTCAACTGAGCTGTGACGGATGCAGTGAGCGCAGACCGGGAGAGCGGGCGAGGCGAGAAATCCACTCCGGGTCTTAAAAACGACGAGTGGAAAAGCTGATGTTTGTGCCATTTTAGCAGTAGCAACTGATCCCCAGACTCCACACGCATTCCATTCAATGTATGGCTCTCCGCACATTTATTTTAACTGTGGTAATGGTTATACAAATTGTGATATTTTTATAGTAATTTAAATAAGGTGGTTGGTTCATATCTGTATTTTTTTTCAAGTTCACTTTTTATAAAACACTTAAACTTCCCAAACGTTAAAATAATGAAGGGTGATTCATAATAAAGGTTTTTGGGTTAGATCGCCTAAGTATAAATATGTCGTAACCCTCCATCCGACAAAGCCAGTAAGGGTTGTCACGTAAGTAAAACATACCAATTAGTTACTATTTCAGGTGTTTGCAGAGTAATTCCACAACATTTAGAATTGTTAATCATGAGCCAAATGACAGATTGAGCTTATTTAAATCCTTTAAAGTCACACAATTCCAACTATCATCTTGATGATGATGATGATGCTGTTGAGAGTGATGGTGGCAAAAAAAATTGGTGATGCTGATGACGGTGATGGGTCATGATGATGGCGATGAAGAACATTTTCATGCCGAAGTCGACAACAACGGTGATGGCAATATCGATCATGCCGGAGACCGCAATGATGATGAAGACATTGATGCTACTGCTCATGAATTTGGACAACGACTCCATTAATCTCCAGAGAACAACACAACCGCCCCCTGTCACTCACAACCAAGGGTGGTCGAAAAACGTTTTTTTTGGAGGCCCTGAGAAAAAATCCAGATGAGGCCTTCCCTGATGCCCATCAGCTCATTCTGAGAATAGGAGAGATCTATATATATATTTCTCTTTCTTGCTCGTGGTTGACCACCAAAGGCCCAAAGAGTCACGTGGCCCAGCAACAAGAGGCACCGTTGAAGGTTTAATATTCGTGTTTTAATGTTTCTGGAATTGAGTGAGCAAGGCTATTATTGTAAGAACTTGGGGAAGAAACGATGGGAGGAAATTCCAAAGTCGAGTGGTGCGAGGAAAGAAGCTGAAAAGAGAAGCGATTCGACCTGCAGTGTGGCGAGTGGGCGGGCGGGTGGGTGAGCGAGTGAGATGTCACCTGCAGTGTGGTGGTTGAACACGTTGTGGATCAGATGAACCAGTTGGTCTGCTAGTCCCGACTCCTTCACATGGGTTTAGGAGCCGATGAGCGAAGTTGGTGGGAACAGTAACTACGGTACGTTAGTAGCCACAGAAGCGTGATATGTCGGTGACGGACTGGAATTTATGTACAATGAACTTCTTTCGCACCGTACATAGCCAACCGTGCTAATCGGACTGCTCTGAGGGATGGCAGAAACTACCGTGCCTGCCCCATTCTCCCTCCCAACCCCCACGGCACTGCTAACGAGAGCTAAATGTCCCTAACGAACGTGCGCTTAGGTTCGCTCCCTGGAGCAGCAGCGCTCGGTGCTGGAGGCTCAGTGGAAGGTGCTGCAGGCGAAGGGCGACGACAAGTCGAACCTGGAGGATATCTACCAGGAGTACATCCGCGGGCTCAGGCGCCAGCTCGAGGTGCTGCAGGAGAACAAGGAGCACCTGCAGTCGGACGTGGGGCACATGCAGGGCGTGGTGGAGGAGTTCAAGAACAAGTACGGATGGCGATCTCCCCTCCTCCACGCACTCTCCTACCCCCCCCTCCTCTCACTCTACATTCCTCCACGCACTGGCCCATCTCTCCCCTCTCGCCACAATCTACTCTTGCTCCCCTCCGCACACTCTCCTACCACCTCCCTCTCAACCCACTCTGCTCCTATTCTTAGGTTTTTTCGGTAAAGTCACGTAGGTAAAAAATTTAAATTTAAATTAATAAAAGTAAAATAAAAATCACGACGTTTTAGAGGCAACACAAGCTTCCGTCTTCAGGTGGAACCGTCACAGCTGGATCCAGCTAGCTGTATCCAGCTGTGCTGGATACAGCTAGCTGGATACAGCTAGCGTGCTGTGACGGTTCCACCTGAAGACGGAAGCTTGTGTTGCCTCCGAAACGTCGTGATTTTTATTTTATTTTAATTTTAATTTTATTAATTTTAATTGTTAACCTACCTGACTTTACCGAAAAAACCTAAATATGAATCCTTGCAGTCATGAAAGCTTCAAATCTCGAACCACTCTGCTCCTCTCTGCTCACTCTCACAACACATCTTGCCCTACTCCACCTCCACGCTCTTATGTACGCGAAAGAAGCTCGACATGCATGTATATACACATACGTGCGTATACATACTATATACACGCATGGTAATCTGTCCGCTTGAGTTTTAATGAAAACGCTTTTATCCGTCGACGTTTAGGTACGAGACGGAGCTGAACAACCGCAATCACGCCGAGAACGAGTTCGTCCTCATCAAGAAGGTGAGCGGTGCCCTGAGCACAGCGCTCCACCACAGCCACATCGGAGTCAGAATATTTATTCATACTGGAGGAATCCGATGAGCAATGAAGCGATTTTTCACAGGTATCCAGTAGGGGGCACGGGGTCGGAGCGTTACAGCCGTGAGACGGGGCCCAGGCAACACGTGCGGCTACGCGCTGCTTGATAATTTACACGGTCGGTAAATGAACATCTCCCAGGGAGAGACTCGCCTGCTCTGAGAACTGATCGCTCGCCACTCCTCGCGTCGGTGTCGCCACTCGATTTGCAGAAAGTCGCCGTTTTCTGGCACCAGCCAATGCTCTTATTCGGCATCTAATCTTTCAAGAGGTGGTGGGTCTCACCGCAAATGCCAACGTGCGCAGATAAAAGGAGCCAACTAACAGTGGCAGTAACCTCATCCCTATTATCCATGTTTTTTTTACTCAACGGCAAACTGCAGGTGAGTGGAGTGGTTTTTGCGGAGGATAGCGTCGATCTAATTCCTGACCACGGCTAACGTCGGCTGTCGGCGATGTCTGAACCAGCACCACCTCCGCCTATCTCCAAGCTTCACCACACCCGCATATTGACCAGCGCGGTGAAGTACGGCCAAAACACCCCCCCCCCCCCCCAACCTCACCCCCCCCCCCCTGTCGTGCCCGACACCGACGTGGTGTTGCATACATCCAGCAGTGGATTAACAAATGGCTGTAAACATTATTCACAACAACAACAACGAAGGCCCCGTTGAGACCAGGAGCCTCGGGACACTTCCGGGACGCCCCCCACGTGGCTTCTGTTCAACGTTCCGACCGTTGCGTTTCGTAGGATTTCGACGACGCCCACCTCAACAAGGTGGAGCTGGAAGCTCGGCTGGAGGGGCTGACCGACGAGATCGACTTCCTGCGGAGGATCTACGAAGAGGTGAGAGCGAGCGCGCGGTGGGCCTCTGGTCAAATCGGTCCCGCAAGTTTGTCGGCGTCCAGCCTGGACGTGGTGACCGCCGTGCGTCTCGCGGCGGCGTGGAGGCGGCTGCGGGGGCGTCTATTGTTGTACCGAACTTCTATCGTCCCCTGTCTAACGCTCCCCGCCGTCACCGGTTCCTGTGAGGGTATGGTCAAATAAATGGACTCTAAGGAACAAAAAAACGTAACTTCTGCTTTTCGTCCCGAGGCTCGGTGCACAGTACCCTCCCGCTGGCTGATGCTTGTTTGGCATTCCATTAAATATTAGCTTTGAATTGTTACGTCAGGGATGAGCGGTGGCGCAGTGGTTAGCACACTGTGTCCATGGCCTGGGCCACCTGAGTTGTATTCCCGGCCGCGGCTAACTTGAGCGGCACGACCACCCACCCCCACCACCTTCACCAATCACAGGGTGGTCCAGATGTATTGTGACCCCAAACATTTTTTTCCTTTGCTTATTCAATTCTGTTTTCACATCCCTATGTTGGTATCCAATACGATTACGTTTTAGAGTATTAAATGGGGGTCACACGACATTTGGACCACGCTGTACATTGAGCGGTATTCTGAAGTTGTCATCCCGCTTGTTTATTTCAAGCAGATACTTTGCACAGCGAATGAGGCAAATCGAAGGCAAATCCTAAAAAAACGTCCCAAACTCTCATTGACCACTCCATGCCTACGGAGCTCTCTCTTACTGACTTTGCAGAAGGTACTTTGTCCCGGAGTAGTCGCCTATACGTATGTATGTTGAACTTTTTTCACACCGCATGGAGCCGACCGTGCTAATCCGAGGTGCGCATGGTGCGAAAGAAGTTCCGCACGCATGCAAACCCATTTGACGTATTTTAGACCACGGTGCTATTGAGGAACACGCGCGCTGAGTTTCACGGTGAGCCGTAGGCAAATGGCGACTTGAGGCGAGGGGGAACTGGGTTTGCCTCGCTCGCTTGGCTGCGGTCAAGCGTTGTCCATCACCGCCTCGCACGGCCGGTGCGGTGTCTTCCGCAAGGCAGGAATTTTCTGCGGCGAACGTTGATGGTTTGTTGTTGTTTGTGAACGCGTCAACCGCAAAAGCTGAAATAATTTTCAATCCATTTGCAAAAGACATTCGGAATGTGACGGTTTATTTGCAACTCTCGCCCTTGCTCATATGCACGCAGCTAATTTGCATTTTTTCTAAATGATTACCCATATTCTACAATTAATGCCAGTTGGCGCGAACGAAGCCATACAAGTCCACAATACGATTGCGGTCGATACAAACGAGGTGGTAGATAACGGGACCGAATAGAATCGACAACTCGAATCAATCATGACCCGGAGAATCGTGAGCCAGTTCATCGACACGCTTTGGCGGCGATTCACCATTGTTTGGCCGAGCCACGTTGACCCCTCCCCTCGCGTCGCTCGATTTAAGTGGCTCATCACGTGGACATTTATAGCAGCCAAATGCTCTAAACACACGTTGTTTGTAAATGTGGAGGGACAAAATGGAACAAATTGCACACGACCACGGGGAGAACATGTGAGCTCCAAATCTACAGCAGGTGTCCGGGTCGGGATCGAACCCACGACCTCCTGCATACTGGGCGAGGGAGTTAACATCTCGCCACCGCGCTTCTTGTCTCGGCTTCGCAGGAGCTGCGCGAGCTGCATGCGCAGATGAACAACATCTCGCTGACGGTGGAGGTCGACACGAACCGCCACTTCAACATGGACGACATTGTGGCGAGCGTCCGCTCCCAGTACGAGGCCTTGGCCCAGCAGAGCCGGCAAGAGGCTGAGGACTTCTACAAGGTCAAGGTGTGAGGACCACCACCATCGTCAATCGTCGACGGCGTTATCGTAATCACCACCACCGTCTTCATCGTCGTAATTGTTATTATCACATTTTCATCGCCGTGCTTTCCATCGCATTTCCATTGCTGTCCACACGTGGAGCCCTGGGAGAGAAAAGGTTTGTGACCATGGGAGAGACGAAGACGGCCGGGATCCGTCGGGCACCATTGAGCGTGGTTTTTTTTCGTGTGTTCCCTCCACCCCCCCCCCCCACGGCTTTGCGACAGTTTGAGGACATCAACGCGTCCGCAGACAAATCCAACGAGGACATCCGCAACGCCAAGCAGGAGCTGAACGATTTGTTGCGAACCATCAAGAGCCTCACGAGCGAGGTCCAGAGGCTGAAGCAACAGGTGAGCAGAGACAAATAATACCCCCCCCCTGTAGCCTTTACAGGCAGCTTGGGCAAGTGCTGTTAGCAAGTAGCACCGAATAACGGCCGGCACGGCACACGAGGTGGAGGGTGACCAGAACTAATAGAGATGTTAAAACTGTGCGGAAGATGCCCATTTGAGGCAGTCGCCCGCAAATAGTACAACACACAAACACGCCTGTGCCCACCGGCACACAAGCCCGCAAGCACATGGTCACAGGTGTGTGTCTGTGCGTGTGTGTGCGCGCGGTTGCGCAGCGCGGGCAAGCGGAGCGCGCGGTGGCCGAGGCGGAAGATCTCGGCGAGCAGGCGGTGAAGGACGCCAAGCAGAGGATCGCCGACCTGGAGCAGGAGCTGGCCGACAGCCGCCGCCAAATGGCGCAGCACGTGCGCGACTACCAGGAGCTGATGAACGTGAAGCTGGCGCTCGACATCGAGATCGCGACCTACGGCAAGCTGCTGGAGGGCGAGGAGGACCGGTGAGTGTCCGGCGCTCACAGACGCACGCACGCGCGTTCGGCGCTCAGCAGAGCGTGGTTCGGCGCGGGTTTTCGGGGCCTGGGGTGATTTTAATTAGCTTGTTCTGAGATGCTCGTTTGTTGGGTCGTGCTTTGCTGTGTGTGCTGTCGCCCGTGGTCCTGCAGGCTGTCGTCCCTTGCTGGGGCCAGAGGGAGGAACTCCAGGAACTACAGCTACAACTTTGGGGATGACGGTAAATTCACCGTTGTCGCGATTGTGATCAGTCATCATCGTCATAGTCATCGTCTTTGTTGTCATAATCATTGCTGTCGTTTTCATCGTCATCATTATCATAATCGTCATCATTGTCTTCAATATCATCTTCGTAATAACTTTCATCATTATCATCGCTGTTCATATAATAAGCAGTGCATCAAACACAAAGTAGTTTCTCAGTGGTGGCAATTCCACATTCCTGTGCCAATGCCGAGAAAAACCCCTGTTGACGTCCCACAAAGTGGAACTCGTGTCGCGTAACCTGGAGAACCGTAGACCTGAGCTCACTCGTGAACAAGATTTGAACCCACGATGAATCTTCCCACCCACACACCCGAATGTGGTGTCCTTCATTGCAAGGCCCGCAGGCCACTGGCGGCCCCTGGTGGCCTTTTAACGAGGCCTCTGACAATACACAACAAATGAAAACACCGCCATCATCGTGCTGTCAAACCCAAGGGTTTCAAACGTGTGGCGGCCTTCACACTGTTGATGTCTTATCGGCCAAAGTGGCTCTCCCCCACCCCCTCTGAAAATTAGTGAAGAACCAGCGCAACCATGATCCACCGTGCGATGCCAACGTATAAAACGCGCGCGTTGCTTCAATTCACTCCCGACTCCTCTGTTTTTCTCCGGCAGACCTGACTTCCCACTATGAGAGCGCCGTTCCCAGGTCATCGTCCAAGACGGTCATCATCAAGTCGATCGAGACGCAGGACGGCAGCGTCGTGTCGGAGACGACCGAAGTCCGAAATTAAACCCGGGCATCGTGTTCCACGCCTGCCAACCTGGCTCCAGCCCCCACCCCACCGCCCCCCCCCCCCCCCCCCCCGCTGTGCGATGTCGCGATGCCATCCCTAGTGGGCACCTCCCGAGGCGGGAATGAAGCCGCGTTGGCGGACGCGGAGACGACGTGGATTGGAATGCAAGAGTGCAGGTCGCATAGCTGGAAGGTTTAAAAAAAAAGAATACAAATATAACGTTTTGGAAAAAAAATATGCAGTGTGAAATATTTGGCTGTGGGTGGAGGGGGTGTGGTGCTATTTGCTTTTGAAGTCCAGTTTGTATCCTTTCGCCGTGTCTCTGCATTAGGTCCCCTTTCCTCGCGCCACTGACGCTCGCACCAAAACCACGGTTTGATACGTACGGTGCAAAGGAAGTTCAACATGCACACATCTCTTTAAAGCGACCTCTTCATATCACTCCCATGCATTGCACCGCGTCTCGTCTGGCACGACGTCCGACGTTTCTCTCCGTGTGCCGGGTGAAGCTTCTTCAAGAACTTAACTGTGAACGGCTGAACCGAACAGTTCCTGAAGAAGCTGCCCAGCACGTGCAACAAAACGTCGGACATTGTACCGAACAACATGCCGTACAAAGCAAAAACACATCAACAAACACAGTAAAAAGGCACTTAACATCGCCTTTTGTCTTGACCAGTGCTGTGGCACTGCAACTTGTTGACAATAAATTGTGGTACTGGTGCAGCATGTGATAGGAAGTTTAAAAATTAAGTATCAACTCCACCGTGCATCAGAAGACCATCAAAAGCAGACACATGGTGAACGGTGGTTTAGACGAACGTTCAGTGCGCAGCCTCGCTGCTCAAGGGCGCGCACGGTGTAACTCCGCTCTCGGATTCTGCAGCTCTTGAAACACAAACCTGGGAATAGAAAGGCGGCACGCTCGCTCGCTCGCTTGCGCCTTGTTAGAGAGTGCCTTTTTTTTTTAGTTCTGCTGGCGTCGGTCTGTGCGGCTGTTCGAAACCGTTCCACTCCGCTTGGGGTGGGGGGGGGGGCTCCGTGTCGGCTTTTACTATTCTGTAGTGTGTAAAGAATAGCCGCTTAAGTAGACGATCACTGACGGGAAGGTGAAGGGCCGTTATTATTCTCTAGAGTCTGCCGCGTGAGTGTACGTCGCGTGAGTGTACGCCGCGTGAGTGAAAGTCACGCGCACACGCTGGGATTCTCGGGAGAATAAAGCCGGTGCACTGTTTTAAATGCTGCGTGTTGTTGTTTTGTTTTATTTACTGCAGTCAAACACGGCGTTTGCTCAATGCAACATGGGACATCGGTGACTATTACAGAGGGGCATCGGCACCAGCTGAATATATTTAACTATTTTAATTTACTTCAAAGCCTCTAGGTCTTACCACGTCTCAAGATGCTGTATGCATGGGGCCAGGTGGGTGGGGAGATTTACGACTGTTTTAATTTTTCCAGGTAAAGCCCACTGAGCTTGTCATGTCGAAATTTATAGCAGCCAAATACTCTAAACGCGCGTTGATTCTAAATGTGGAGGGAAAAACCGGAGGACTCGGAGAAAAATCCACGCGACCATGGGGAGGATATGCAAACTCCAAATATACAGGTGTCCGGGTCGGGATCGAACCCACGACCTCCTGTATACCCGGTGAGGTAGTTAACATCTCGTCACTGTGGCGCCCTTTACTTTGCAAGTGAAAAGACGATCAAAAGCAGGAGATGAGGAAGATCTTGAGTCAAGACTTGAACAGCAGTGGTGATCTGGCAGCATGCGTGACGAGAGGGAGGGAGTTCTCGCCAGCTGAGGAAAACGAGTGACCGTTTAATTGAAGAAACATTGACTGAGCTTGGATAAAAATTCCTTGGTTTCTAAATTGGGGAGGACGTCAGGGGGCGGGGAGGGGAGAGATGTGAGCCAGGGGCGAGGTCAACGGAGAGTCTTGAAGATCTACGTGTGCGATTTTCCAAATGATCCGGAATTCGACTGCATGGCAGCTGGCCAAGAGGGCCCAGTGCATGGGGGGGTGATGTGACCACCGTTCTGGGTGCGAATGAGGGAGTCCAGAACAGTACCACTGCCTCAGTTGATCAAGGAAAATTTACTCGCACTCCACATCCACGGTCCTTTCCAGCCACGTTCGCGATAATAAACATTTACGTGGTCAGCCACGATTACTCTGCTGCTGGAGGACGAAGACCTCCCCGAACCGTTGCGCTCGCTCGCGGTCGTGCGACGTGGCGATCGATCCACCGCACAGCACCTGCACACGCAAGCTGCCCTCGTCGCGAAATCTTGACGGTGTCCGTGATAAACGTGGGCCATAATGATGTATACTGTCAGGTTGTGGCTGTTGTTATACCGGACCTAATCTGTCTGCCTCGACAGCCCAGGCCATATGATCATATTTGCTCCGGTTCACGTTTCCATATTTTTCCGAGCAATGGGCCAACGACAAACCCACTTAACATTCCGCTGGAAGAGATCGGTAAACGTGGAAAGGTGGTCCTGTGGTGGGACTGTGAGGAGTAAGGTTAACGGAGCTCTGGCATAATTAATTCGTGCATTCTTTGCAGAGTGCGTGTGCATTGTTGAAATATCTGCCAGGGGGTTTAAATGTCACCTACCGGAAGGGCTCACGTTCGCGTTTGTAAGGAACCCACAACCCACCTGATGCGCTATTCAATGAGTCATCTTCTCATCCTGCACTCCGCTACGATGCAGCGATGAAAAATTGAACCCGTAAAAACTACGCTTTTCACTATAAATCCTTTATATGCGTGGCGGCTAGAGTCCTCTCGTCCTCTGGCTTGAGATAGCTGCCACCTATGGGTCAGATGATTGCCTGCCACCATTAAGCAATTGGTAATTAAATATAAAAAAAAATCCTAAAAAGTGTAAAGTTATGGAAAAAATTTTTGACGAAAATAAATTGTCACGCACAACGAGTCTGTGTGCAAAATGTCAGCTCGATTTGATCACAGGAAGTGGGTTAAAAAACGACCGAAAGATTTGCACGGTCGTAAGCGCGCAAGCAAGCAAGTGAACTTAATATAAAGGATTAAAAAAGACTCACAATCGGGCGGCACAAAACAATGCTCTCCAGTGTGAATAATACGTTGGCGGAAATTATGTTTTCCTGTGACTGATACATTTACTGAATTCATGTGACGATGATTGATCGACGAGGATGATTGAAAATCATTATAACGATGATTACAAATATGAATTATATTAATTGATGATGCATTGATGGTGGATTCTGATTATGAATGATGATGCAGACTACTTAAAATTAGGATTGTAATTAAACGATGGTTTCGCTTTAACATACCTGTCAACCTCTTAGTGCCCACCTTATTACAGACCAATTCAGCCTTTGGTCACCCCGTGCCCCTTAAAAATATCAACTTCATCCGACAAAGTCCCATCACAAGGGAGAAACACAAACAAATAGACAGCATTTTTTTGCCCGTATTGAAACGGCTGTACGCCGTATGGACCTGAAAACTCAATTTCCCTGCACGAGAATACGGGGTAAACCGTATGGGTTGACGGCTACGTGTTAATCTTGCAATTTCAACCACTGCGAATAAACCATTCGGCTTCTCGCGCCGAGCAGCGAGAAGCCCCCTCCCCCGACTTCCCACACCGCGAAAAACGTGGAGTTGGCTCCCAGCAACCGCACGAAATGGAAGCGGCTCTCCCAGATATGCCCACAGGGGTTTAATAAAAAAAAAATCACAAACGGTATAACTGGGAGCGTATCCAATGCCGTTTAATGTGATAGAAAAAAACAGACGATTATATATATATATAAAAGACATTTTAGTGTGTAATTGTACGAGCATGGGTGATGTGATGTGCACAATCTAGGTAACTGTAAGGGCATGGATGTTTTTATTAGGTGTGGTAGGAATAATGGGTACAGCTGGTGCGCCTGCCTGTCATCTCAATGAGCCCACCCATGGCACCTGCCGGGTCTGTCCCGTGACCTCCTCCTGTCAGCGAGCCTTCGACACTTCGCGTGGCCTCAAGGTGCACCTGGCCTGGCACAGGCCCAGTGGTGACGTCACCGTCGCTTGGTGGCGAATGTAGATTTATTGGTAGTATTTTTATTTTATTTTCTTTTTCTACCTACGTTATTTTACCGAAAGAACCAAAGAGTGTGGTAGGAGGGTGTTTATTTTTTGTACTCTACAGCCTTGTGCACGTGGGCTACTCTGCAGGAGACGGCAGATTACATCAGCTGGGCGCTGCGGGACGAGGGGCGGTGTTAATGCGGAGCGAATATGTTCATCTGAGCCCACCCTCCCGCGGGCAGCGTTTCACGGCGCAGCAGGGCGGGGGTGGAGGCGTTTAGCTGCGGCCGCGCCTATAGGGCCAGCGGACGAGGGATTGAAACAATGACATCGATCGTTCCAGAAAAGGCGCGCTGAGATCCTGCGTTTTAATCTGGATGTTTTTTTGTTTTGTTTTAGTCGCTCACCAGCGATTGAACCGCGTTCTCCAGTGTGCAGAGGTCACGGCATCAAGGTCGTGGGTTCGATCCCGAGCCTGACGCCTGCTATACATTTAGAGTTTGCACGTCTCTCTCTTTCTCCGGGTACTGCGGGGTTTTCCCCTCCACATTTAGAAACACGCGATTAGAGTATTTGGCTGCTATACATTTACACGTGATAAGCCGCTTCGTCGAGCTATCATTTGTGGCCAGGTAGCTCATGCAAATAGTTGTGTAGCTCAGTGGGCCTTACCTGGTAAAATACAAATGTAGTTTAGTTTAGATGAGGCTAAATTCCGCTTAATTTCCACAAAATTCTACTTTATTTCGAAAAATAACTTCGCCATCAACGTTTCTCTGTTGGGATAGTGTTACGCCCCTGGAGTCTGGATTTAAAAATAAATTCAGGGTTCGCTAAAAGGGATTTCAGAATCAGTTCTGTGATATCTCCTTCCACGTGCCGTTCTTCTTCCACGTACCGTGGTGGTGCGATGCACCCTCTCACTGAGAGTTCCAAACGGATAACTCTGTCCCAAGACGCAATGCTGGGAGCACAGATGGAACATCGGGGTTGTGCATTGATGTCGGTTTTCACGGCTCGATGAACGAGAAATCTTGCCCGAGGATGCTTCCAACGTGGGAAGCGAAACGAAGGAGCGAGGAGCAGCGGTCGCTACGGCTATCGCGAAAGAGTCTCTTTAAACAGCATTTCTTAATCGGGTTACTTTGACAAAAAACGAGTTTCCAGGACTGCGTACTCGCAAAGGTCAGCACGGGTGCAGGTGCGAGAGGTGGTGTGGTGGCTTTAGGGAGGCCTTCATCCAGCAGTGGATTGCTCACGGCTAATGATGATGATGACCTGCTAAAAACTCTTCCAACAAATTGGAAAAGTCCCCCGTCTCCGCCTCGCCCTCCCCCCATTAATTTTGCTAATGATGTTTTAATTGACCGTGCGACAGTTATTTAGAACAAAGAAGCGAACTGGATATCCGAGTCCAGCCAAAAAAATTTCCAAGTTGACAAGCGCTTTTTTTTACACATCGCATTAGTTCGATAAAACCTTTACAAACCCTTCAACCTGCACCTGCCTTAATGAGGTCTGGTTGTGAGGGTACAGGTGACGCCATTAATTATGCATGGCACAATGGGAGTGTCATTTCCTTTGTTATAGCCGGGACCAATGGACCCGAGACCAGATCACAATTACTGCAGTGGCCCCGGTGGGCTGAAATTCAGCGAGTGGATGTGCCCTTGAGATTCCACGGAATGAGAAGCCACGTGGATTAATGATCTCAAACAGGTGCGCTCACGTCGTGATGTCACGCCTGTAACAGCCAATAAAAGGGTTGATTTGCTCGGGTGCAATGTTTGCCAAAATGGCTGGAAATCTGTGTAAGCCTGTTGGGAATGGCATCTTCTCCCACTGTTGTGCACAGCCCATGCAGATAAATAGAACTAAAAGAGAGAATGCGAAGATCGTTGTGAAGTACAATGTGGTGTCTGAGAGGGTTATAGGACAATATTGTGTAAGTACTGTAGGTATGTTGGACTTATTTTGAGCCGTACGTCGCCAAGCATGCTAATCGGAGCAGTTCTAAAGCAGTTCCAGGGAAATTAGTTTTGAATGTAGATTTAAAAATGCAACGCTGCAGCGGCTTTCTAATATCGGAAGGAAAGAGCGTTCCAGACGGCCGCAGAAGCGCATCTGAAAGCGCACGATGCAGTCACCGTCCTTGT